TAGTAATCAGTGACCACGTTCGTCATATCCACGGAGAACTTACCAACACTCGTTACTGTGTATTCGTTATAACAATCATAGATGCGTGATTTAAAGTGGTGCTCAAGATAAGAAGGAATAGATTTTCAGCCGATTTGTTTTTGAGGATTGGCTAGTGTCAACAGAGTATCTCGTTTCAACTGCTAAGTGGTCACTGATTAACTTTGTTGCAAGCATGCATCTGACGTTACCATGCACAAGATCCCTTCCTATTACATAATCTAGTCTGCCCCTTGCCACATGAGTTTTCCTGTCTGTATCATATACGGTCATGTATCTGTTGTTCACAAAATATCTGAATTCATCGCCATTTTCATTACATTGACTATCATCAAATGAAGGACGTCTAACATTAAAATCTCCCATGCATATTGTGCCATGATTCTGAAAGTTGGGCAGTGAATCGGGTTGAAACTTTTTTACACCTTGCGTATACACTGTACAGGGAGAAAATGATAGTGCACATTGTTGTCATCGGACGTCTTCACCAGTTTATGCAATATTACGTCACTAACATAAATCAATAAACCTGTCATTCCTGTGTTTGTATAGGAATGATAGCCTCTAATTCTAGGGGTGGTTTTTAATTTAGTGGTTAATGTAAAGGGCTCTTGTAAACAAATAACACTAACATTATTATTATAAACATAATAAGGCAAGTCATTAATTCTACAGTTGACACCACGTATATTCCATGAAAGAAAAGTAATTATTTTCTTGTTCCCCATCACACATTATAGCTGAATGGCCAAATCTTTGTTTAATGAAGCCCTTTAGTTTACATATGTTTTTATAGCATTACATGGGAGACCTGATTTACATTTTCGGTATCACTAACATCATTAGGAAGGTTATTTTTATTTTTCATTTGTATACTCTATCACTTTCTCTTTCCTTTAACATTTTTTTTTTTCAACAAGTTCTTGTCTGAGGCTTCTGATTTCCTCAATTTTCTTTATTTTTTCACCATTCGTTAGTTCTGTGGCACTGTTTTCTGGGATGGGAATCCCCCCAGGCAACTGCGGGAATTCTTGTGGGTTAGTGACGTCACATGGCACTGGGCGGGGTGTACCTAGGCTGGGATCGCCAATCCGCGGTCGATGGGTACGGTCGGGGCAGGGGGGGGGGTAAGCGTGCCGGCTTGTGGGGGCAGTTACAGTGCCAGTTCGTCACACCTGATGCACCTCTTCACAATGGCGACGGCGTCTTCGTTGTCGTTATCCTTTCCTGCAGGGGCCTCCTTCGGAAATCTGGTGACCAGGTATTCCAGGTGGAGGGGTTTATCCCCGTAAAATCGCCCATAGCGCAGGAGGAATCCCGACGACGTCCTGCCTTAGTGTCACTGCGCTTAGACCTGTTTTGTATCCCTGTCGGCAAGTTTGGCGGCAACGCTCCTTAGATTTATGTCTGTGCGTGTTCGACTGTATGTGAGAGTGCCCCCTGTCGGCAGTTCTTATGAGTGTGACTATTATCTTCATTACTACTACTTCTACTATTACCGCCACTACTGCTATTGCTACTGCTACTATATATATGACATTGTTTTTGTTACTGCTATTATTCACTGTACTATAACTGTAACTATATATATATATATATATATATATATATATATATATATATATATTATATATACATATATATATATATTATATATATATATATATATATATATATATATATATATATATATTATATATATATACAATACAACACACACACACACACACACACACACACACACACACACACACACACACACACACACACACACACACACACACACATATATATATATATATATATATATTATATATATATATATATATATATATATAATATATATATATATATATATATATATATATATATATATATATATATATATACATATACACACACACATACGTTCGTTTGAAGATTGTGTAGAAATTCAATATTTGAATTTGATATCCGATAAATAGCATCGAAATTATATTCAGATTATAAACGAATTAAGAAAAATACTAAGAATCCAAGATCGCAAAGTAATCTGAAATATATTTTGAATTTCTTTTGCGCAGTTCCTGCGTGGGAACGCATAATTCAGACACTTACTTTCTGCCGAGGAGTCAGAGTGGCCCAAAATTAAATCTTTGAGAAGTCTGTACATACCACTGGCATTAGTTATTAGTCTGAATGCAGAAGCTGTCTCATTAAAAGCATTCAAGAAAACGATTCACTCTCGCCGGACTACGGAAACAAATGTGACATTAACAACAATAGCAGCGGTACTGGCAAGTGAAAATGGTATATTTATCCATATTTCTGAAATTTGTCCTTCGATGTCACTAAAATGTGGATTTTTTCTCCATCATTATCATGTCTATTGGAAAATAAGACAATAAATTCATGTTTACCGTAATGTTCGAGCCGACGGTGTTAAACTTAGGCGCTGTGGTATTAAGATCATCCGCGTCATTGTTACTGTTTGTTAGTACTATATTATTGAAGTTCTTATCAATGCTATTATTTTTATCATCATTATCATTATTGTCATTGTCATCATAATAATAACAATTATCATTATTATTTTTGTCATTATTATTATTATTATTATATCACCATCACCATCATCATCATCATCATCATCATCATCATCATCATCATCATTACAATTTTATTATCATTATCATCATTTTTACTGTCATTTTCATTATAACTATTGTTAGCATTATTATTAATAATATTATCATTACTATTATTATCATCATTACCATTATCATTATTATTATCACTGTTGTTATTATCATTAGTATCATTGGTGTTCTCAGTGATGTTATATCATTAACCGAATTATTATAGAAATTATTACCAATTCTTTTTAATTTCATTATTGTTACACTTAAGAACATCATTATCATTATCATACTATCTATACTGTGTTGCGCATTCTTATTGCTTTTAGTGTCATCATTATCATTAACACTGTCGTACCATTATTGCTGTTGTTAATATATTCATTAATAATTATTTTTTCAACGAGGTGACTGCTGTAGATTTCCTCTCCATTACTATAATTAGTGTCAGACCTTGTGTGACCTTGCTTATCGCCCAGCTGTAGTCCCTAACGACTCTCTGTCCTTCGCTTTTCCTGTTGATATAACTACTTCACTTTCTAGTCCACTTTACCGAACTGATTTTGTAGGGTAAGTCGTACAAAAAAGTCCTATCCACTTTTCATGCCTCTTATCCTAAACGCAAGCACTTGTAAAGTATTGTTTTAGAATGTCCAACAAATCCGTAATTTTCTTTGACACCGATACTATCTCCCTTTTGAACATCAAAATATTCCATCTTAATTAATATTTCATTGAATATTACAATACACACAATCACTTTTGTCTGAAAACATTTTTTTGCCTGATTTGGTTGGCATTCTGAATGATTCTACAAGTGATGACGATCATGTTCACGATGATTTTTTTTCCTGGTAAGGCGAGTTTCTTTATTGTTTTCCAAAAGGAGTATTTATTAATGAAAGAGGCTCCTGGCTTTAGGTCCAAACTCGTTAGAGGGGCACAGGAACTGGTTTTTATTATTTATTTATCTTTACTCAGAACAGACAGAAATGCAGACCACCAACCCAATTTATACATGTAAGAAACTATCCACAGTCCACTTTACAGACAGAAAACAGAGATAAATTTATATAATAATTAGAAGCAGAAAAAATACAGCGAGCGAGCGAGCGAGCGAGAGAGAGAGAGAGAGAGAGAGAGAGAGAGAGAGAGAGAGAGAGAGAGAGAGAGAGAGAGAGAGAGAGAGAGAGAGAGAGAGAGAGAGAGAGAGAGGAGAGAGAGAGAGAGAGAGGAGGAGAGAGAGGAGAGGAGAGAGATGAGAGGATTGGGGGAGAGGGGAGGGGGGTAGAGGGAGAGGAGAGAGAGAGATTGGGGAGAGAGAGAGATTGGGAGAAGAGAGAGAGATTGGGGAGAGAGAGAGAGAGGAGAGAGAGAGACAGTTGAGGGAGAGAGCGAGAGAGCGAAGAAGAGCGAGAGGGCGAGAGCGAGAGGGCGAGAGGCGAGAGGGCGAGAGGGCGAGAGGGGAGGGCGAGAGGGGCGAGAGGGCGAGGGCGAGAGGGGCGAGAGGCGAGAGGGAGAGGGCGAGAGGGCGAGAGAGAGGCGAGAGGGCGAGAGGGCGAGAGACGAGGAGATGCGAGATGGATAGATGGATTAGATGGATAGATGGATAGATGGATAGATGGATGATGGATGGATGATGATGGATGGGATAGGATGGATGGATGGATGGATGGATGGATGGATGGATGGATGGATGGATGGATGGATGGATGGATAGACGATAGACAGATAGACAGATAGACAGATAGACAGATAGACAGACAGATAGATAGATAGATAGATAGATAGATAGATAGATAGAGAGAGAGGATAGACGGATAGATAGATAGATAGATAGATAGATAGATAGATAGAGAGAGAGAGAGAGAGAGAGATAGGGGGGGGGGAGGGGGGAGAGGGAATACAGTCCATTAATATGAAGGGCCGTCTTCGTCGACAAATGTCCAAATATGATTCTTCTCATAAAACTTTACGAAAGTGATCAGACGGGAAACTGCACTGGCTTCCTAATTCGCACAAAAAATGGCAAGACGGTGCTTGGACTGGTTCCTGTCCTGCCAATGCATTGTCAGGGGAGGTCTGGTAACATTGCTTTGTCAGCTCACCCATTTGACTGCATGTTGTCTTTTATTTGGACGAACTGATTTACGCAAAAGTGAGTCACAATTTTCTGGAATAATCTTCAATCGTAATCTTGTTCTGTACATATAACTACAATAGTAAACTTTACTGGTCTTACTTTGATTAGCTGCCTGTTGCATGCGTCACATATTCAATATGAAGAAATATGGAATTTAGATTGCTGTCTATTATAGTATATAGTTCATTTAATATTCGATC